AAAAATGCTACAGAAATAAAAGGCCACATAGATATAGATGAAAAAATAAGATTTCAAAGCAGAGCAGAGCACAATTCAGGCCATTAAAATTGGTCCTAAAACTGTGATTTCACAACTTGTGAAACTTTAAATAATGACTGCAACAACCTCACTTTCCCCCACATAAACCATGCAGGAAACTCAAATGTTGTGAAGAACAAGAATGAGAAATGGAAAAGCAGAACATGACAAAGAGAAGAGATGAGTTTGTGCACATGAAATGGAGCTGGAAATTTTCACAGGTTGGTGTTTCAGTACCTGGTTTCTGCCCAGGGGCTGCTGAGCCTTTAACTGTGATTGGCACAACTTGTGAAACTTTAAATTATGACTGCAACAACCTCACTTTCCCCCACATAAACCATGCAGTGACCATGCAGGAAACTTCTGGAGAATTAGAAATGGAAAAGCAGAACATGATAAAGAGAAGAGATGATTCCCTACACATGAATAGAGCTGGAAGTTTTCACAGGTTGGTGCTTCAGTACCTGGTTTCTGCCCAGGGGTCCCTGAGCCCTCAAGTATGATGGGCACAACTTGTGAAACTTTAAATAATGACTGCAAAAACTTCACTTTCCCCACATAAACCATGCAGTGACCATGCAGAAAACAGTGTTGTGAAGAAAAAGAATGAGAAATGGAAAAGCAGAACATGGCAAACAGAGGAAATGATTCTCTACGTGTGAATAGAGCTGTAAATTCCCACAGGTTGGTGTTTCAGTACCTGGTTTCTGCCCAGGGGCTGCTGAGCCCTCAACTGTGATGGGCACAACTTTTGAAATTTTAAATAATGACTGCAACAACCTCACTTTCCCCACATAAACCATGCAGTGACCATGCAGGAAATCCACAGTTCTGAAGCAAGAATGAGAAATGGCAAAGCAGGACATGACAAAGAGAGGAGATGAGTCTGTGCATGTGAAATGGAGCTGGAAATTTTCACAGGTTGATGTTTCAGTACCTGGTTTCTGCCCAGGGGTTGCTGAGCCCTTAACTGTGATTGGCACAACTTGTGAAACTTTAAAAAAATGACTGCAACAACCTCACTTTCCCCAAATAAACCATGCAGTGACCATGCAGAAAACAGTGTTGTGAAGAAAAAGAATGAGAAATGGAAAAGCAGAACATGACAAACAGAGGAGATGATTCTCTGCAGGTGAAATGGAGCTGGAAATTTTCACAGGTTGATGTTTCAGTACCTGGTTTCTGCCCAGGGGTTGCTGAGCCCTCAACTGTGATTTCACAACTTTTGAAATTTTAAATAATGACTGCAACAACCTCACTTTCCCCACATAAACCATGCAGTGACCATGCAGGAAATCCACATTTCTGAAGTAAGAATGAGAAATGGAAAAGCAGAACATGATAAACAGAGGAGATGAGTCTGTGCACGTGAAACAGAGCTGGAAATTCCCACAGGTTGATGTTTCAGTACCTGGTTTCTGCTAAGGGGTTGCTGAGCCCTCAACTGTGATGGGCACAACTTTTGAAATTTTAAATAATGACTGCAACAACCCCACTTTCCCCACATAAACCCTGCAGGAAACTCAAATGTTGTGAAGAACAAGAATGAGAAATGGAAAAGCAGAACATGGCAAACAGAGGAGATGAGTCTGTGCATGTGAATAGAGCTGGAAATTCCCACAGGTTGGTGTTTCAGTACCTGGTTTCTGCCCAGGGGTTGCTGAGCCCTCAACTGTGATGGGCACAACTTTTGAAATTTTAAATAATGACTGCAACAACCTCACTTTCCCCCACATAAACCATGCAGTGACCATGCAGGAAACTTCTGGAGAATTAGAAATGGAAAAGCAGAACATGACAAACAGAGGAGATGAGTCTGTGCACGTGAAATGGAGCTGGAAATTTTCACAGGTTGGTGTTTCAGTACCTGGTTTCTACTCAGGAGCTGCTGAGCCCTCAACTGTGATTTCACAACTTTTGAAACTTTTATTAATGACTGCAACAACCTCACTTTCCCCACATAAACCATGCAGTGACCATGCAGGAAATCCACAGTTCTGAAGCAAGAATGAGAAAAGGAAAAGCAGAACATGGCAAACAGAGGAGATGAGTCTGTGCACATGAAATGGAGCTGTAAATTGCCACAGGTTGGTGTTTCAGTACCTGGTTTCTGCCCAGGGGTCGCTGAGGCCAGGCTGGGGTTGCTGGGCCGGGAGGGCGTCCCTGGGAAGGCGGCAGCAGGATCCACACTCAGGGTGCTCTGGATCAGAGGGACACAAACCTGCAAAGGGACCCCAGCAACAGCACAGAAAGCTCATTTCAGTCAGCACACACTGGGCTGCTGCTCACAGATCTGGGGATTCAGAATGAATTAGAAATGTCTAATCATACAAAAATTCCTGGTGGATGCAGTGTATTTTAATACTGCTAAGAAAATATTCTTCCCTCCCTTAATCTTGAAGATGGATTTAATGGAATCCAGGTGTTGAATAGAAACAGGTCCATTCCACTTAGAGTGACTAGAAATGCAACACCTGCATTATTTCTATCTTCCTAAATATTTCTGGTCTTTCACCACTTTTCCTGTGGCAGCCTTTTCCAAGCCCACACTTCCTTGGTGAAAGCCTTTATTGAACACATCTGTAACCCATGGCTGCACTCAGGGCAGAGATGCTTTCAGAGATGCTCACAGCACATTCCCACTCTCCAATATTTTGGGGCTGTGGTCCCAAATATCCCCTTTACACAATCTGTAACCACACACAAGCACAAATTGTTTCCTTGAGGGGTTTGATTTCAGTACCACAGCAGACAGGGATGAAGCAGGAATATTTTACATTCTGCTGCACAGACTGGGCTGCTGCTCACAAATCAAAGTTTCTGGGGATTCAGAATGAATTAGAAATGTCTAATCAAACAAAAATTCCTGGTGGATGCAGTATATTTTAATAATGCTAAGAAAATAATTTTCCCTCCCTTTACTCCCATCTTGAAGGTGAATTTAATGGAATCCAGGTGTGGAATAGAAACAGGACCATTCCACAGTGTGACTAGAAATGCAACACCTGCATTATTTCTATCTTCCTAAATATTTCTGGTCTTTTCCTGTGGCAGCCTTTTCCAAGCCCACACTTCCTTGTGAAAGGAGGAGAGAGCCTTTATTGAACACATCTGTAACCCATGGCTGCACTCAGGGCAGGTTTGCAGAGATGCTAAAGGACATTCCCACAGACTCTCCAATATTTTGGGGCTGTGAGTCCCAAATATCCCTTCTACACAATCTGTAGTCACACACAAGCACAAACTGTTTCCTTGAGGGATTTGATTTCAGCACCACAGCAGACAGGGATGCAGCAGGAATATTTTACATTCTGCTGCACAGACTGGGCTGCTGCTCCCAAATCAGAGCTTCTGGGGATTCAGAATGAATGAGAAATGTCTAAAATTCCTGGTGGATGCAGTGTATTTTAACAAGCCTAATTTATTAGGATTAATTTAATGGAATCCAGGTGTTGGACAGAAACAGATCCATTCCACAGAGTGACTAGAAATCAAACACCTCCATTATTTCTATCTTCCTAAATATTTCTGGTCTTTCACCACTTTTCCTGTGGCAGCCTTTTCCAAGCCTGCAGTTCCTTGGTGAAAGCCTTTATTGAACACATCTGTAACCCATGGCTGCACTCAGGGCAGGTTTGCAGAGATGCTAAAGGACATTCCTACTCTCCAATATTAGGGGGCTGTGGTCCCAAATATCCCTTCTACACAATCTGTAACCACACACAAGCAGAAATCAGTTCCTTGAGGGATTTGATTTCAGTACCACAGCAGACAGGGATGAAGCAGGAATATTTTACATTCTGCTGCACAGACTGGGCTGCTGCTCCCAAATCAGAGCTTCTGGGTATTTAGAATGAATTAGAGTGTCTGATGGATGCAGTATATTTGAATAGAAACAGATTCATTCCACAGTGTGACTAGAAATGCAACACCTGCATTATTTCTATCTCCCTAAATATTTCTGGTCTTTCACCCCTTTTCCTGTGGCAGCCTTTTCCAAGCCCACAGTTCCTTGGTGAAAGCCTTTATTTAACACATCTGTAACCCATGGCTGCACTCAGGGCAGGTTTGCAGGGATTCTCACAGCACATTCCCACTCTCCCAATATTTTGGGGCTGTGGTCCCAAATATCCCTTCTATACAAAGTGTAACCACACACAAGCACAAACTGTTTCCTTGAGGGATTTGATTTCAGCACCACAGCAGACAGGGATGCAGCAGGAATATTTTACATTCTGCTGGAGGTTTCCAGAGATGCTAAAGGACATTCCTACTCTCCAATATTTTGGGGCTGTGAGTCCCAAATATCCCTTTTCCACAATCTGTAACCACACACAAGCACAAACTGTTTCCTTGAGGGATTTGATTTCAGTACCACAGCAGACAGGGATGCAGCAGGAACAATTTCCATTCTGCTCCACAGGGATTGCTGCTCCCTGAGTTACCTGCTCGAAGTTGGAGGGCAGGTGAGGCCCCAGCCTGACCAGCAAATACCACCAGACCTCCAGCTTGGTCAGGGCCANAAATCCCAGCAAAAACCCCAAATTCCTCAGGAATAGGACAAACCATGGAGGGCGGCTGGCTGGGAGGCAGCTCTGGCAGCCAGGGCTCCCAGGAAAGCAGGGTTTGATATCAGAGCTGGATTTTCCTCAAGATTTAAAATATCTGCCCAAAAATTGTCAGCTGTAGGACACCAAATCAGCAGGGTTTGCTATCACATCTGGATTTTCCACAGGATTTAAAATATCTGCCCAAAATTGTCATTTCTATTACATCACATCTTATAAATACACCTCTGAGAGCCAGGCTTCTCAGGGAAGCAGGGTTTGCTATCAGAGCTGGATTTTCCCTAAGATTTTAAATATCTGCTCCAAAATTGCCAGTTCTAGGACATCAAATCAGCAGGGTTTGCCATCACAGCTATATTTTCCCCAGGATTTTAAATTTCTGCCCCAAAATTGTCACTTCTAGGACACCAAATAAGCAGGGTTTCTATCACAGCTGGATTTCTCTCAGGATTTTAAATATCTGCCCAAAATTGTCATTTCTATTACATCACATCTTATAAATGCACCTCTGAGAGCCAGGCTTCTCAGCAAAGCAGGGTTTGCTATCACAGCTGGATTTTAGCCAGGATTTTAAATTTCTGCTCCAAAATTGTCACTTCTAGGACACCAAATCAGCAGGGTTTGCTCTCACAGCTGGATTTCCCCAGGATTTTCAATATCTGCCCCAAAATTGTCACTTCTAGGACACCAAATCAGCAGGGTTTGATATCAGAGCTGGATTTCTCCAAATATTTTAAATTTCTGCCCCAAAATTGTCACTTCTAGGACACCAAATCTTAGAAAGGCACCTCTGACAGCCAGGCTTCTCAGCAAAGCAGGGTTTGATATCACAGCTGGATTTTCCACAGGATTTGAAATTTCTGCCCCAAAAATTGTCACTTCTAGGACACCAAATAAGCAGGGTTTGCTCTCACAGCTGGATTTCCCCAGGATTTTAAATATCTGCCCCAAAATTGTCAGTTCTATGACACCAAATCAGCAGGGTTTGCTATCACAGCTGGATTTCTCTCAGGATTTTAAATTTCTGCCCCAAAATTTTCAGTTGTAGGACACCAAATCAGCAGGGTTTGCTATCACAGCTGGATTTTCCTCAGGATTTGAAATATCTGCCCCAAAATTGTCACTTGTAGGACACCAAATCTTATAAAGGCAGCTCTGCCAGCCAGGGCTCTCAGGTAAGCAGGGTTTGCTATCATAGCTGGATTTTCTCTCAGGATTTTAAATTTCTGCCCCAAAATTGTCACTTCTAGGACACCAAATAAGCAGGGTTTGATATCACAGCTGGATTTTCCACAGGATTTGAAATATCTGCCCAAAATTGTCATTTCTATTACATCACATCTTATAAATACACCTCTGAGAGCCAGGCTTCTCAGCAAAGCAGGGTTTGCTCTCACAGCTGGATTTTCCACAGGATTTTAAATTTCTGCCCCAAAATTGTCAGTTCCAGGACACCAAATAAGCAGGGTTTGATATCACAGCTGGATTTCTCTCAGGATTTTAAATTTCTGCCCCAAAATTGCCAGCTCTAGGACACCAAATCAGCAGGGTTTGCTATCACAGCTGGATTTCTCCAAATATTTTAAATTTCTGCTCCAAAATTGTCACTTCTAGGACACCAAATCAGCAGGGTTTGCTATCACAGCTGGATTTCCCCCAGGATTTTAAATTTCTGCCCCAAAATTGTCACTTCTAGGACACCAAATTTTATTTTGCCCTTACAAATTTCCACAGAAGTTGTGGCTGCACAGCCACTGAACACTTGTATAAATCTGCTGCTAACAAAACAGCTTCCATTGGAAATTGTAGAGGTCTTGGCAAAAAATATTTTGGCCAACTCTGTTCACCTGGAATACAAATTTAAGAGAATTTGGCAAAATATTTTGGCCAACTCAGCCGTGATCTCCCAGGACTAAGATGAACTTTTTTAAGAAGGGAAAAACAGAAAACTCCCCAAATTCAGGATCCCTGATTACAGCAGAACACAATGGCAGCACAAGCCTTCCAGAAAGGGAAGGAAAACCAGGAGTTCCTCATTGGATATTTAGAGGTGATTATTTGATTTTCAATAAAAAAGTTTGTATTATTAAGCATACTCTAGACTTTTCTAGGATAATGTCCTTTATCCAAGGAAAGTCCAGAATATACTGAATAATGCAAACTAAAATTCCTGCTGCATCAGCATCCCTGGGCAGGATTGGGTGGGATTTTGGGATTTGGGAAGGAATTCCTGGCTGGCAGGGTGGGTGCCCATCCAAGGCCAGGCCTGGGACAGTGGGAGCTGTCCCTGGATCAGCTTTAAGGTCCTTTCCAACCCAAACCATTCCAAGGTTCTCAGGCAGAAACTAAAAAATGCTACAGAAATAAAAGGCCACATAGATATAGATGAAAAAATAAGATTTCAAAGCAGAGCAGAGCACAATTCAGGCCATTAAAATTGGTCNAACAGAAGGTAGAATAAAAACTTCAGGTTACACCTTTAGAACAACTTTGTTTTAACACCCCTGGAATCCTGAAGTGTTGCCTTTCTCCAGTAACACCCCATCAGCCAAAATAAAACACACAGAACGTTTGAAACTCTATTTCACTGCTCTTTGGATCATTTATATCGTTACAAAACACAATTTACTAATTTTGTGCTATTTCTAGAATTCGCAGCACAAAAACTAGGATAGAACAACCAAACTATCACCTTGCCTCAAAAGGAAAAACAAGGAAAAAACCAACAAAAATTTGAATTTTAGTTATGCACACAGACAATGAATTTTTCTGCAAGATTATGTGGATACAGAAATAATATATAGTAATATATTACTATATATTACTACATATTTTATATAGTAATATATATAGTATATAATATATACTATATATTATATTTATAGTATATATTATATATATGGTATATATAGTATACTATAATAAATATATATAGTATATAATATATAGATAGTATATAATAATAAATAAATATATAGTATATAATAATAAATAAATATATAGTATATAATATATAGATATAAGTGATATATAGTATATAAGATAATATAATATAATATAATATATATTATTATATTACAATATATTATATTATATATAATAATATAATATTATTATTCTATATTATAATATATAGATATAAGTAATATATAGTATATAAGTGATATAGAAATAATGCATTAACCACTAACAGATTGCATTTTTTCCCAGTCACACATTAATTTTTCCAGCTCTGCATGACCTGTATGAAAACAAACCAGGCTCAATATTTCGTTCAGACTCACCTGGGTTTAGGGCAAAGTTATCAATGAGGCTCTTCCAGGCGATGAAGGCGATTTTCTTCACCACCGGGGAGCTGCTGCGGAAGCCCAGCTCCTCCAGCTGCAGCAGGGAGTTGATGAAGCTCCCGCTGCGGTGCAGGGTCTGACAGGGGGAAATTCAGAGTTAAATGAGATTTCTGCTAATCAGAATTCCTCTTCCTAAAGATTCGCGAATTTTCTGCTCACCTTGCCGAGCAGTCTGACAAACAGCGGCCACAGCTTTAACACGAAGGTCTCGTTTTTGGATGAAAATAATTTCTGGAGTTCGGAAATTAATTTCTGCAGGCAGAAAGAAACGGGATTTCTATGTGAAATGGATTTTAAATGGTCTAAAATCTACATTCTCATATCAATGTCTGGGGACACAACCAACAGAAAGATTTGAGATTATGCAAATATTTTATATATAATATCAATTTTTACATAGTATATATATATATAGCATTGCATTATATATATTACATACATAATTATATAATATTGTAATATATATGGTATCCATTATATTATATATAATATATATTACATATGCATAATATATTATATATTCTTATGTAGTATATAACATTACATAATATACATTATGTAAAAAATTATATTGTAATATATATTGTATAAATACTATATTGTATATATAAAAATATATATATATGGACAATATATATATTGTATATATATAGTATATATACATATATATACTATATTGTATATATATAATATATTTTTTATTTATTATATATTATATATAATATCTATTTTTACATACTATATATAGTGTATTGCATTATATATATTACGTACATAATTATATATTATATTGTAATATATATTGCAATATATATGAAATTTTTGTATATTATACATTATATTATACATAACATAATATATATGATATATAATAACATAATATATATAATAACATAATATATATATGATATATAATATAAAATTATATATAATAATATATAGATAATATATAATCATATATACATAACATATTTTTGTATTATATGTTATGTATTATATATATGTATGTACTGTATGTATTATATATATAATATATATATATTCTATAATACGTATTACATGTTATATATATAAAATCACATATACATAATATGTATTTTTTACAATGAAATCTATATAACTTATATACCTAAACTAAGCACGAGTTTGTTTTGCTCAGCACAATCCACAGCTTTTGGTGCCATGAGGAAGTGGAGCAGCATTTCTGATATTTGCACATCAGGATTTCATTCTGTACCACACAGCATCTGCTACCACCTGATTCTCTTTTTAATTGAAATTTATGGCTCTTATTGACAATGGCAAATTCATTCAAACAAAGCAAAATTCATGCCTTCAAATATTTGCATTTCCTCCAACTCTGAAGTCAAACCATGCCCTGTCACCAAACACCCCCTTGTTTTGGGTTTTGGGTTTTTCAGCAGAAAATAAGGCAAAACCAAAGAGCCAAGTGAGGCCAGTCCTGGAAGGGAAGGAGAACATGGAAAGCTCCACCAAGGACACCCAGGAGCTGCTGCTGCTGCTCAGGATGGGGACTCCCAGGACATGGACAATGCTGAGCACGCTCTGCTTTCCTGCCCCTGTCCAAATTCTCCCATCCCCTTTGATTCTGGACACTTTTTGGCAGTGAATATTTACATCTCCATTGTTTTCCATTAAAACCATGGCATGATGAAGTTGTGTCAATGCAGAGGAAATGCAGTGAATGCAGTGCCACTCACTGTGACCATCAGGTGCTCCGTGACAAGGACACCCAGGACATGGAAAATGCTGAGCACGCTCTGCTTTCCTGCCCCTGTCTCCCATCCCCTTTGATTCTGGGCACTTTTTGGCAGTGAATATTTACATCTCCATTGTTTCCCATGAAAACCATGGCATGATGAAGTTGCTGAGGAAATGCAATGAATGCAGTGCCACTCACTGTGGTAATCAGCTGCTTGGTGACAAGGACACCCAGGGGCTGCTGCTCAGGATGGGGACTCCAAGCACATGGGAAACGCTCAGCACACTCTGCTTTCCTGCCCCCGTCCAAATTCTGTCTCCCACTCCCTTTGATTCTGGGCAATTTTGGCAGTGAACATTTACATCTCATTGTTTTCCCATTAAAACCATGGCATCAGGAAGTTGCAGAGGAAATGCAGTGAATGCAGTGCCACTCACTGTGGCCATCAGGTGCTCGGTGACAAGGACACCCAGGACATGGAAAACGCTCAGCACACTCTGCTTTCCTGCCCCCTCTCCAAATTCTGTCTCCCACCCTCTTTGATTCTGGGCACTTTTTGGCAGTGAATATTTACATCTCCATTTTTTTCCCATGAAAACCATGGCATCAGGAAATTGCAGAGGAAATGCAATGAAAGCAGTGCCACTCACCGTGGTCATCAGGTGCTCGGTGACAAGGACACCCAGGACATGGAAAATGCTGAGCATGCTCTGCTTTCCTGCCCCTGTCCAAATTCTGTCTCCCATCCCCTTTGATTCTGGGCACTTTTTGGCAGTGAATATTTACATCTCCATTGTTTTCCATGAAAACAATGGCATCAGGAAATTGCAGAGGAAATGCAATGAATGCAGTGCCACTCACTGTGGCCATCAGCTGCTCGGTGACAAGGACACCCAGGAGCTGCTGCTGCTGCACAGGATGGGGACTCCCAGCACATGGGAAACGCTCAGCATGCTCTGCTTTCCTGCCCCCCTCTCCAAATTCTGTCTCCCATCCCCTTTGTTGCTGGGCACTTTTTGGCAGTGAATATTTACATTTCCATTTTTTTCCCATTAAAGCCATGGCATCACAAAGTTGTGTCAATGCTGAGGAAATGCAATGAATGCAGCGCCACTCACTGTGGCCATCAGGTGCTCGGTGACAAGGACACCCAGGGGCTGCTGCTGCTGCACAGGATGGGGACTCCAAGCACATGGAAAATGCTCAGCACACTCTGCTTTCCTTCCCCCTCCAAATTCTGTCTCCCATTCCCTTTGATTCTGGGCACTTTTTGACAGTGAATATTTACATCTCCATTTTTTTCCCCAGTAAAACCATGGCATGATGAAGTTGTGTCAATGCAGAGGAAATGCAACGAATGCAGTGCCACTCACTGTGGCCATCAGGTGCTCGGTGACAAGGACACCCAGGGGCTGCTGCTGCTGCACAGAATGGGGACTCCCAGCACATGGACAATGCTCAGCACACTCTGCTTTCCTGCCCCAGTCCAAATTCTGTCTCCCACCCTCTTTGATGCTCTCCCATCCCCTTTGTTGCTGGGCACTTTTTGGCAGTGAATATTTACATCTCCATTGTTTTCCCATGAAAACCATGGCATCAGGAAATTGCAGAGGAAATGCAATGAGAGCAGTGCCACTCACTGTGGCCATCAGGTGCTTGGTGACAAGGACATGCAGGGGCTGCTGCACAGGATGGGGACTCCCAGGACATGGACAATGCTGAGCATGCTCTGCTTTCCTGCCCCTCCAAATTCTGTCTCCCATCCCCTTTGATTCTGGGCACTTTTTGGCAGTGAATATTTACATCTCCATTTTTTCCCATTAAAACCATGGCATCAGGAAATTGCAGAGGAAATGCAATGAATGCAGTGCCACTCACTGTGGCCATCAGGTGCTCGGTGACAAGGACACCCAGGACATGGAAAATGCTGAGCACGCTCTGCTTTCCTGCCCCTGTCCAAATTCTGTCTCCCATCCCCTTTGATTCTGGGCACTTTTTAGCAGTGAATATTTACATTTTCATTGTTTTCCCATGAAAACCATGGCATCAGGAAATTGCAGAGGAAATGCAGTGAAAGCAGTGCCACTCACTGTGGTCATCAGGTGCTCGGTGACAGCGGCCACCTCCGGCTGCCGCTGCTGCTGCACAGGATGGGGACTCCAAGCACATGGACAATGCTGAGCATGCTCTGCTTTCCTGCCCCCTCCAAATTCTCCCATCCCCTTTGTTGCTTTTGACAAAGCACTTTTTGGCAGTGAATATTTACATCTCCATTGTTTTCCCATTAAAACCATGGCATCATGAAGTTGTGTCAATGCAGAGGAAATGCAATGAGAGCAGTGCCACTCACTGTGGCCATCAGGTGCTCGGTGACAAGGACACCCAGGGGCTGCTGCTGCTCAGGATGGGGACTCCAAGCACATGGAAAATGCTCAGCACGCTCTGCTTTCCATCCCCCTCCAAATTCTCCCATCCCCTTTGATGCTGGGCACTTTTTGGCAGTGAATATTTACATCTCCATTGTTTTCCCATGAAAACCATGGCATGATGAAATTGCAGAGGAAATGCAGTGAATGCAGTGCCACTCGCTGTGGCCATCAGGTGCTCGGTGACAAGGACACCCAGGACATGGAAAATGCTCAGCATGCTCTGCTTTCCTGCCCCTGTCCAAATTCTGTCTCCCACCCTCTTTGATTCTGGGCACTTTTTGGCAGTGAATATTTACATTTCCATTGTTTTCCCATTAAAACCATGGCATCATGAAATTGCTGAGGAAATGCAATGAATGCAGTGCCACTCACTGTGGCCATCAGGTGCTTGGTGACAGCGGCCACCTCCAGCTGCTGCTGCTGCTCAGGATGGGGACTCCCAGCACAT